ACAGGTCCACGTCACAGCACCGCTGCCTTCCCCCGATGCACATTCCCTACCAGGACATAAACAGCTCCTTGCTTCCGCACGGGGACTCGTGGAGCTGGGAGAGTTTTCCCCCTCCGGGCTCTAATGAAGGTTTTCTTGCCCAAGGGGTGCAGGGAGAGCAGCGGAGCCCAGGGTGACAAGGACACGTCCCCTCATATCCTTCCAGGGCCCATCTGCAGGAAGCACCGGGGGAGTCGCCCTGGGCGAGTAGAGAAGTGGCCGCCGCCGAGCAGATGGGAAGCCGCGAAGTTCGGAGGTAACTTTGCAAGCAGAGTTTCCATCTCCCAGCATGATCCCTGCCTGGCGCCGGCTCCGCTGCCACATTGCTCGCACCGGGAGCAGCTGTTGGAGCTAGCACTGACGTGGAGAATATTTCCCTGTGCCATCTGTTCCTGCGCTTGCAGCAGGGCTGCGGAAAACGGCAACTAGGTCGCACCGGAGTAAATCACTTTTCCTAACCTCCCCTCTTGCAGCTCCATCCAGCCTCTGCTCCATCCATCAGCGCCGCTCACTTTGCAACACGCCTGTTTATCCCTTGGAGCTCATTAAAATGAGCTCAGCGCCGCGGCAGGGATGAGACACCAGTGATGCCGCTTAATGGACAAACATCTTAATTACTGGGAGCTTTTACCTCCTGCCCCAGCAGAAAAGCCTGGGGAGTCGACGTTAACACCCAGCACGAGGGTGGGAAGGAGGCTCCACGTGCGCCCCAGCTCCGTGCCCGGGCACCACGGCTGGCACCAGCACATGCACCCGGGGAGATGGTTTTGCCCAAGCATCAAGTCTGCTCCCCCCGAGGTCGATGCCACCTTCACCCGGGGCGCTCACCCCCATCCGCAGCCTTGCCAAGCCCCAAAGAGACCCGGGTGACTTTGCTGGGGCCGCAGAAGAACAGGCTCATTGCAGCACGGCGCTGGGGGGGTTATTTTATTCTTTGCTTTGGTCTATACAAAAACAACTTACAGAAATAATAAAATCTTCCATTCCTGAACCACGCTCCGGGAATGTCCATCCCTTTCCAGCCGAAGCGTTAAACCACCATCAGCTCTACAGCTTCTTTTATAAATGCATTAGATAAGGGAAGAGGGCAGGGAAACACACCACTCACCAAAGAGAAGGGAAACAGGTTAAAATGTGCAACAAAGATCAGTACAAGGACACAGCTCCTAAAGCTGGAGTCACTCCGCTATCGGTACGGTTAGGACAGGTAGTTACACAGAGTCAGCTCCCCAACGGCTGATCGGAAAGAATTAAACCCAGACATCCCGATGGCTAAAATGAAGGTCCTGGATATAGCACTGTTTGTTTTCCGCAAACTCCCGAGTGATCTGATTAAGTTAAAGTTCACAGAAAACAAAGGTTTTTTTCCCCCAAGTTAGATTCCTCGTCTAGAACACTAACGCACAGAACAGAGTGGGGAAGTTAAAAAGCACGAACTTAAAGTTGGCCAGAGCCATTGGCACCATATTAAAAATAAAAAAGAAATATATATTCATAGAAAAGACTATTTTGCCCATGAAAGGTCAATAATGATGCAGGATTTGTGTGTTTTAAAGCTTCAGAAACAGTATCTTGGATGCTGGATGCAGCAGTAGGTGCTTGAAGCAGTCCCAGGAGGAAGGACCTTCTCCACAGACCCACAGCGAAGAAGAAACAAAACCAAAAACAAAAATCGAAAGATAAAACCTCTCGTGGGAATGGAAAGTCTGTCGTCGCAGGCACTTCTGTCTCCCGAGCCCTTCTTGCAAACGCTCAGCTCCGGGGCCACCCTCTTCCGTATAGAGCAAATACCTGCAGGGCAGCAGGGAGAGGCCCGTCACCCAACCGAAGCGCTTGGGGACCCCCAGACCCCCGTCCTGCTGTGCCAAGGGGTGCGATGAGCACCCCACAAACCTGGTGCGGGGCCTAGGAGGCGGGTTAGGCGAGCATGTGGTCAGGGTAGGGCGCCCGCACGCCGTCGCTGTAGGCGTCCATGGGGTAGTCGCCGTCCATGTCCATGTGCATGTCGATGGGGTCCAGGGGGATGTCACCCGAGTACATGGGGCGGTAGCCAGCGTCCAGCTCTGCCAGGGGGAGAAGGGACATGGAGCAACCTCAGCGCGGGCTGCAGAGACACTGCCAGCATCAGCCACCTCGGGTGTCCCCCTGGCCACCAGGGCCACACAGGAGCTCCCTTCGCTGCAGGAGCAATGGGCTGAGCATCCCAAAGCAGCCTGGCTGCCACCACCCCGGCAGCTGCCCAAGATGACTTGACGAGAAGACAAGTTTTAAAATCAGCTCGGCTTTGGCGAGAAGGTGCGGAGCTCGGATGCGGGAAGAGCTCATGCGATACTCACCGTCCGAGTAGGGCTCGTTGATGGGGATCATGCTCTGAGCCTGCAAAGGAAGGCGGCAGTTTGAGAGGGCGACACAGGCACACGGTGCAGGTGCACGAAGGACTGCAGGTGCAGTCCTGTGCCATAGATGCAGTCCTGTGCCACGTGCTCTAGGTGACCCTGCGTGCAGGGGGGTTGGACTAGATGATCTCTAGAGGTCCCTTCCATCCTTAACCATTCTGTGATTCTATGAAGCCCAGTGAGTACGTGATGCTTGGGCCATCCTGCGGCAGCAGGAGTGCAGGCACCGCCACCCAGGGCTGCGAGCGCCGAGGATGCAGCCGCCTCCGGCCGTTTGCTCCCTCTGGAGCAATAGCAGGAGGTGGTGGCCATCCCAGCAGACCGGTCTCGCCGGGCCGTGCGGGATGCCGAGCGCCGCGGCGCGCGCCGGGGATGCTCACCGCCTCCCAGGCTGCGGGGTCGTGCTTGAAGAGCGAGTTGGTGAGCTCCACGGACACGCGCTTCCTGTAGTCGGGGTTCTTGTCCTCGGAGATGCGGAAGAGCACGGCGGCAGCGTAGGTGGCTGCAGGGGACAGGAGGCAGCATCAACCAGGTGATCTCTTCCCCCCATCGCTAGTGACTGCTCCAGACCCACAAGGAGCCCCCCGTGCCCGCCGTGAGGCTGGACCCACCTGTGCCCTCGTTCCTGGAGTGCAGCAGCTCCATGAGCGGGGCCGAGGCCCCCTCGGCATCAATGGCATCTGCCGCCTCCTTGTCCTGGGCCAGCTCGCACAGCACGCCGGCCGCCACGCGCTGGATGTTCTCCACTGGCGAGTACAGGAGCTGTCAGGAGAGATTAGCAGCAACATGAACCAGCCGGCACGGTGGCCTCTGCGCTCCCGGCGTGCGTGACGCGCGGCCACGCACAGCCCGGCCCGTCGCAGCGCAGCAGATGGTGACGGTGCAGCCTGGCCCAGTCCCTGCCCCTGACCTGCACGAAGAGAGGGATCGTGTTGAGCCGGAAGATCTCCAGCCGGTTCATGGGGTCTCGTGCCAAGATGTGCAGCGCTCCTGTGCAGCCCTCCACGATCTCCTCCATCTTCACGCCATCCTGCCAGGGGACAAGCGTCAGCCAGGGCTGCAGCAGCAGGCAGGGCATGACCACAGAGGCCACCTCGAGCTCAGGGACAGGGTGACCTGTCCTGGGTGGGCAGAGCATGGGGCATACACTCCCCAATAAGGCTGTTTCTTTGCAAGCAAGCTGCACTGGGGAGCTTGGGACAGGCAGAGCTCCTGGGTACCCACTAGGACAAGAGGGGACAGCTGGATTTTGGGGGGATCCAGGTCACAGAGGGAGTGGGAAAGAGCGATGCGGCTCGCCGAGCCCGTGGGGGGGACGTGTGCGCCTCGTGCGTGCCGGCTGCGACGTGGCGCTGCGCGTCCTGGTGAGCCTTGACCAGCAGCTGCACCAGGCGCGGGATCACGGCGGCCTCCTGGAGCGGGGCATGGTTGGCCGGACACAGGGCCAGGTTGCGGATCAGACCTATAGTAGCCTGGGGAGGAGAGCCAGGAGAGAGGGGCTCAGAGGGGGCCGGGAGCGCGTGGGGCAGGACCCACGCGAGCTCTTCCCGAAGGTCCCATCCCCCTGCACGTGGCACTTGCTGGCTCTGGCTTCCTGCAGCCCCGTCGGCACCGGATCCGCCTCCCTCCCTGTGGAGGGCAAATATTGATTTCAGCAAAGCAGCCAGGCACAAGCAATTTCCTGCCGTTAGCTGCCATCAAGGACGCAGCCCTGCGGATCCCCGAGTGCCGACGCAGCCCCACGTGCAGCTGCAAACCCAGCCGGGTATCAGGACGGGCAGCACCACCCTGGCACGCGCCAGCCGCCCGGGGCTCCCTCCAGTCCAGCCACTGGGTTTCCCTGGCCCAACGGCCTCTTACCTTGACCAGTGGCCACTGGTTGGGCTGGTTGAGGAGCTTGACGATGGCGGGGATGCCGTAGTTGAGCCGCACCGAGTTCTGCGCCATCTCGGCCTCGGGGTGCCGGCTGGGGAGGGGGCGCAGCGCGCACACTCGGTGATGTCCTCCTTGTCACCCGCCCGCAGGATGGTGTGGATCAGGGCCTCCACCCCGTTGGACTGCGTCACCAGGGTCTTGTTCTTGCTGTTGTTGCAGGTCAGGTTGGAGAGGGTGCCGGTGGCGCACGTCAGCACGTTCACGTCGTCCGAGCTCAGCTGGTTGACCAGGATCTTGAGGACGCCATCCAGGCCCTCCTGCAGGAGGAGGGATGGAGCTCAGAGCTCGGCCTGTCCTGGCTCCCCATCGCGCTGCCCCACTTGACCCTGCTGCCAAGTGCAACCCTCAGAGCATCTGTGCAATCCCAGGGCCCCTTCCCATGCCAAGGGCCAGCGGCCCCCGGGCTGTGGCCCTTCCCAGCACAGGAATCCTGGTTGTCCAGGCCCTCGCTCTGCACCATTTGCATGTGCTCCAGATGTGCACAGCTTTCCTTAAGAGTTTAGCATCTCCACTGGGTTGTCCTTGCTGGAAACGTGTGGGCAACCCCAGTGCCAGCTGCTGGGAGCCGCGCGAAGCCAGCACTCCCTGCACAATCCCGCGAGCGGGACGGGAAGGGGTTAAAGCGACACGGCCACATCCCGCCCGGCTCCGCGCGGAGCCGGACCGCGCCGCATGCCTTCCGACGGGAGCGCACATAGTTTCCACGCTGCATCAGGCGCTAATCTGCACGGAGCCGCAGCCCGAGCGCCACATGGGGAACACATCAGGAGGAGGGGAAGGGCTCCAGGGTGGCCGATATCCAGGTCAGCGGCGCCGCCGGCTGCCCCC